GACAGCAATTAACAACAACAACAATAGCCCTGAAACACTCCTTTCCTAATTTTAAACCATCCAGTGTTCTTTTGTTCTGTTCTAACAAATGCCTCTATAGTACCACACCAAGCATAAATTCATAGCAAAGGAAATTTCTTACTATGCTAAAACTCAAGTTCATTATGATAAACCCAGGAAAGTTCAATCCTAATTCTCCTACCAAAGTGAAATTGCATCACTCACACACAGAATATAAACATCTTACAATACAATAACTGAGTATTACAGAGTGTTGAGTTCATACTGAGAAGATTTACCTTCTTTGAATTTTCTTGAGCCTGTGGCACTGTGGGTTAATGCATTGGACTGCAATATCAGCTTGACAGCAAGGTTGGCAGTTCAAGCTCACCAGCCAATTCCTCAGAAACCCTATACATAGTTGCCATTAGTCAGAACTAACTGGACAGCAGTTAACAACAACAGCAATTCCTAATGACTAGGAAGCTCTTTACATTTGGGCAAATGGGAGGTTAAAAAAGTTATCAGTCCTGAATTATAAGAAAGGCTCTTTAAAAGGCAACTTCTTTCTTTTTTCATTGAAGATTTTATGCCAATTCTTACTCAGCTTGACACTATCCTTAGGCCAGCTTGGTAAGCAATTCAAGGTTAGCAAAACATTTCTTTTTCTGGACCAAAGAGTCAGTTAGTTTGAGAACAAAATAATTTAGTAATCATAGTTGTGACCTCCAATTACCTAATCTAAGGTCTGAAGTTGCAGTCTGAATGTAAGTAGGGTAATAGAAATAAAACATTTTTCAATTCAGTCCTGAGATATTTTTTGTTACTGTCAATCTGCATTCTGGTTTTGATGTGATGTTCTAACTTAAGAGAATAATCAAAGATAAAGGGATGGATTCATAATAATGGAAAGTGATCCAAAATAGATGAATAGAGAGATGGAGACAATGCAAAAGCAGAAAATACAAATGAAAAGAGGAAATTGGCTAAGAATTTATCAGGTTGTGGGGGAAAAATGGAGAAATGTAGGGCTAAAAACATCAAGAGAAGATAATGGAAACAAGCTGATAGATTGTCAAGATAAAGAAATTCAGATCATATTCACTAACTGAAAAGTCCTGTGGGCTGGAGAGACAAAGTGAAATACTATAAATTTGCTTAGGGATAATAAGCATCCCCAGCAGTCTTTAATGGATGGCTTTATTGAACTACGCTGAGTCTACAAACCAAAAATTTGTATATTAAGAATTAACAACCCAACTCTTTAGGTTTACTATAATGCACAGCCCAATTAAAATATGTGTGCATCAGTTAAGAAGTGGAAGAGTCTCAACAAGGTGAATGACACAATGACTATAACAATAAGATCAAACATAGCAAGGATAATGAGGATGCTGCCCGACCAGGCAGTGCTTTTATGTGTTGTGTATATAGTGGCTATAAATTGAAACAGACTCAGCAGCACCTAACAATGTATATATAGATATATATACACATATTTACATTATAGGAGTTCTTCAACTACAAAGTATAGTGGTAATATCATAGTCAATTCTGTTTTCTGTGTCCCTGACAGCATTTGTTCATCTCCTTAGCTTTCATTGCTGATTGTGGCTTCCAGTTGACTTCCAGTCATCTGGCTTCCAGTCATCCTACTTATATGGACATTAGGAGCCTCAAGCAACATCCCAGAACAAAGTACCGATTAACCTTGGGCAGGGAGAATAAAACATATATATCACATTCAAAACAGAAAAGTAGTCACTGTTCTAATGTACATGTGATTTTACTGATTCAATCCTATTTTATCGAATATGGTAAATGTGGTTTCTGAGCTCAGATTATGTGTAATTTCTTGAAATTCTCATTGATAGTAATATGGGTGAGCATCATATTAAGTGCAGTTACATTAATAACTGCAGCAGCCATTGTGGTCTTACATTTTTGTTGTTGTTGTTATTGTTATGTGCCATCAAGTCGGTACCAACCCATAGCAACCTTATGTACAGCAGAACAAAACACTGCCTGATCCTGGGCCAACCTCACCACTGTTGCCACACTTGAGTCCATTGATGATGCCACTTGGCCAATCCATCTTGTTGGGGGTCTTCCTCTTTTTGTCTGACCCTCTACCTTACCAAACATGATATCCTTCTCCAGTAACTGGTCCCTCCTGAAAATATGTCCAAAGTATGAGATGAAGTGTGGCCATCTTTGCCTCCAAGGAGCACTCTGGATGCACTTCTTCCAAAATGGATCTATTTGTTCTTTTGGCAGCCTATAGTATTTTCAATATTCTCCTCCAACACTATAACTCAAAAGCATCAATTCTACAGTCTTCCTTATTCACTGTCTAGCTTTCGCATACATATGAGGTTATTGAAAATATCAAGGCTTGGGTCAGGCACACCTTAGTCCTCAAGCTGACATCTTTGCTATTCAACATTTTCAAAAGGTCTTGTGCAGCAGATTTGCCTAATGCAATACGTTGTTTGATTTCTTGACTGCTGCTTCTGTGAGTGTTGATAGTAGTTACACTAAACTTATTTAAATATAAAAGTGATGACTCTTTAGTCTCTGTGGAGGATATAGAAGTGAGCATAGCTAATTTCAACTATCAAGATCTGCACAGAGTTGAGATTGTATGATACTAAACTATTTCCGGACTCAGAAGGAGTCTTGGAATACACACTAATGTTGACAAGTAAATGCTATTCCTATTACCCCTTTGAAAATATCTGTAGTAAATGTGGATTTAATTACTAAAATATGCTGTCTCTTTGTAACTTGCACAATGGAAAACACTAACCTAACTTTTTACCAGTTACCAATTCATTTTATTTAAGAGAAGGAAGCATGACAAATGACAAAATTGATTAGGAAAGTAAATAGCTGGCACTTTAATAGAAGTGGCCTCTTGCCGTCGAGAATGGAGTTCATTACTTGCCTGTTTTCAAAGAATCAGATGAAGCCAATAAAGCACTCTGTGCAATTTTCCAATCACTTCTTATTGAGTATACAGTTTCCTTATGTGATCAAGTGCCAGACAACTATCAGGGTGTATGTGCTATTTGGAGGTACTTTAGATGTGGAAAATACTTTTATTTTTGAAATTTACATTTGCTCTTTTCCCATTTTCTGTCCTTTGTTTTGGCATTTTAAACTAGTAAAGCCAGCCAGCTCAGTAGCATTTCTATTGCTCCATGGAAACATATGGTTCATAAAATAAAAAATTAAAAAAAAACACTACAGGGTTTAAATACATTTAAAATGACATTGTTGTTGTTGTTGTTGTTTAGTGCCATCAAGTCAGTTCCAATCCACAGCAACCCTGTATAGGGTTTCCAAGGAGCAACTGGTGAGCTTGAACTGCTGACTTTGTTGTATAAATTGACTTTGCAGTCCAGCGCATTACTGCTATTCAATATATCAGACTTTGTGGCTTCTCCTCTAGGTCAATGTCAGATTATCCAATAATCAAGGTAAACAGAGGCATATTTATGCTTACTTATTAATCTGTAGTGAGTGATTTCCATTTTTTTCATTACTTCAAATATTCTGCTTCTAAGTATGGCTGACATCTGTCTCTTTCTTAGCTCCACAGCACTTTTATGCTGAATCAAAGATACTTCATAAATTTCCAGCCCCTGACAGAGATGGCGCACCGAGTAAGCAAGGTAACCATAGGATTATTAGTGCTTACTTACTCATCTGTAGTGAACATGCAAAACTGTTCACTACAGATGAGTAAGCAAACATAAGAAACCTCATGCTTACTTGCTTATTGGGCAATACGCTCCTAGTAAACTTTGATCTTAGTAATAATAAAGAAATTCTATGCCATGTCCTGTTGCTAAAAGTTTCAGGGCTGTTTAACTTTACATTTAGGGTCTACAATATCTTTTTGAACCTTGATTATTCACCATGAGAAGTATGTATCATATATTATTTTGTCCAATGACACAATCAAATTTATTCAGCTTCTTTCTTTGTGGGTAAGAAATACCTTATCATGAAGCTTATATTTAATAGCTTTCCTGGAGTCCTGGTGTGGCACTGTGGGTTAATGCATCCTAATTCAAAGCCATTTGAGCTTCAAGGTTGATAGTTCAAGCTCACTAGCTGCTCCTCAGAAACCCTATACAGGGTCGCTATGGATTGGAATATACTCAATGGCACTTAACAACAACAATGACATTATATACAACAGAACGTTATATCGCTTTTCCAGACATTTTTGTTTTTGAAATAGTATTTTAAATTTTTATGAAACTATAATAGGAGGTTGAAAAGAAAAAGGTCACTGTTTATATATTGATGTGGAGTTAATAGATTGAATATTTCATCATGGGTTTGCAGCACATTGACTCTGGTAAAATCTCATTGATGGAATATATATAGCTAAAGCAGAGTAATGTTACCTAATTATTGAATAACATTATTTAATAAAATGACAAATTTAAAAATGGGACTCTTTGTACTATATACTACGAAGATTCCTGTTTTTAAAACTGTCTATAAATATGTATTATATAAAGGTGTTCTGGTAGTGTAGTGGTTATGAGTCAGGCTGCTAATCTCACGATTCAGAAGTGAGAAAATACCAGTGGTTCTGCGGGAGAAAGATGAGGCTTCTGCTCCTGGAAAGAATAACAGCCTCAAACATCCTATACAGGGTTGCTAAGAGTTGGAACTGACTCCACGACACATAACCATCACCAGTGCTGTGTAGATTTGACACTTAAGAGAAAAAATACTTATGTAACAATGCATTTTTTTTTAGGTATTAAAAAGGGAATTTTTATTGAGGGCAAAAGGATGCAAATAATATAAAAATCAAAAGCTTATCTGGCATTGAATTGACTTTTCTTTCTCTACTTTTCAAATGGGATGGATTTTATTTGTACACATTCTCAAGGGTCCCGATCTGCTCGTGAAATCCTTACACAGGGGAAAGCAGTAGGGCAGATTCCTTAAGCAGCTCTTTGGGATAACTCTTATCAGGGTGAGAGTGATTCCTCAACTCTGCCTACTTCTACTTTTTTTCCCTTCTGTTTCATGTGTACTACAAAATAGTCATTGCATGCGATGGTGAGCCCAGCAATGAGAGAAAGAACGCTCTGGAAGCCTATTTTGCCATCTCGGCACTGGTCCAGGTCCTTCATTATTTTGTCAACAGCCAGAGGGTCTTTTTGGTTTTCCAAAAATCCAGGGAACTCCTTTTCCATGAGTACTCTCAGGTCCTCCTTCGTTAAGTAGCATTTATATCCAGCAAATCTGTGAAACGTGGACATCATTATTTCCATCGCATGTTCCATTTGAGATAGCATTTTGGTGAGGTCTGTTATAATCTTGGCTTGGAGACGTGAGGCGGATGCTCAGCGAGCTGGGACGCAGGGCCAGTGAGGCGAGCACCGCAGGTGGGGGCCTGTATCAATGCATTCTTCTCTCTGAAGTACAAGTATTTACACACTTATATCAAAACTGTGAATATTTACACCTAAATAAATTTAAATTCATATTCCAAAGCTGTATTTTAGTAGACTTATCAGAGATATGAAAGATATTGTTATTAAGTGCCATCAAGTCAGTTCTGACCCATACATCACTGCATAGGGTTTCTGAGGAGCTGCTGGTGAGCTTGAATGCCCGACTTTTCAGTTTAAACTGACTTTGCAATCCAGTGCATCAACCCAGAACATCATATCAGGACTCCATGAAGTATATTAGAGATATGTTAACTGAAGTGCAAAAGAAGTTAAGTGAAAGTTATGACTAAAAGAAGAGCTAGAGGATAATCAAAAAGATCAAACATATCCTATAAGAAATGGTAGTCAGGATCCTATTGAGTTTCTGTCTACTTTAGTGAATATTGATCATTGTCTAATTCCTAGGCAATCTTAGTGATATTTAGACCTTCTTTGATTTCTGTCATCAAAATCTTGTAATTTTCAATATATAGATTCTGAACAGAGTCCTGGTGTGGTACTGTAGGAGAAGCACTGGAATTCTAACCTCTATGCCAGTGGTTCAAATCCTATATAGGGTCACTCTGAGATATAATGGACTCACTGGAAACCAACAACAAGAAGAACAATTTAATAGTTAAGGAGCCTAAATTCTGATCATTGACTCAAAAAATGATTTTTCACTTTTTTATTATCATTAGATGAGATTAGAAGGCTAGAGGGGTTTGGTGGTGGTAGTGGTTGTGTGCCGCGGAGTCGGTTCTGACTCATAGCGATCCTGTTGTACTGGATCTATAAATCTCTACGGGAGGAGAAATTCCCATCTTTCTTTCAAGGAACAGCTGGAAGTTTAGAACTTTTGACCTTGAGGTTAGCAGTCTTACTCGTACCTACTATGCTACCAGAGCTAGAATGGCGTAAATGCCTTTCCTCCAGGTGGGATAAACCTGTATTAAAGCTGTTTCCCTTTGAATTAATCTTTGCTATGGACATATTTCACAAAGACATTTTCTCCACCCCTACCAGAACTACAAGGGGCTCTTCAAGAAAACTTGTTGTTGTTGTTGTTAAGTGCCGTCGAGTCTGTTCCGACCCATAGCGACCCTGTACAGGGTTTCCGAGGGTGTAAATCTTTACAGGAGTAGAAAGCCTCATCTTTCTCCCGCGGAGCAGCTGGTAGTTTCGAACCGCTGACCTTAAGGTTCGCAGCCCGATTCGTAGCCACTACGCTACCAGAGCTCCTTTCAAGAAAACTTATGCATGTGTAAAATGGTCTGGCAAGGTCCTCTGACCTCCTCTAACTTCATGAAGAGAGAGGAGAATCAAGATCAACAGACCAAGGTTGATTGCAATGAAGTGGAAGTCAGACATACTTCCTCTTAACCAGTTCTGACATCAGCCATCCCTCCCATGACACTCTATTTCTCTGTTGGGTTTGATCATTCTTTGTAATGGCCATACAAAAGTTGGATTATACTTAAAATTATGGGGTGTAGTAGGGACACAACTGTCTACAATTCAAGATGAGAAAACTTAGGATATATTTCTTTATAAGGAGAGCTTCTTCTCAACCTTTGATAGAGGGCTCATTTGTTAGTCTGTGTCACTGTGCAGGCTAGTGTTACAAAGACTTTTCAGTTCTGACAACATTTGCTTAGAGGTTATCCACTCCTCTAGTAAGCCTCTTGCTCTTTGCCACTTTAGTTCTCTCACTCAGTAAGCCAAGAATCTCAACAAGCCAGCTGCTGCTGAGTCTCCTGGGTTTGCTACCACTGTTTTTTGCCATGTTCTCTCACTGTCTTCCTTGTCACACCCTCTCTTCCTCTTTCTCTGTCTTCTATGTCAAGGAGGTTTCCAAAAAGAGAACCTGAGTCGAAAGGATACACTTTGCATCCATCTCTTCTGAGTCCCCCTTTCCTACCTCTGGGATGGGTCATTTTAAGCCAAGCAGGATCATAAAATAACCAATCCCTCCATTAGGGAATACATCTTATTTGCATAGTCTCATGCCCACAGAAGTGCTATACACCTTATTTGTATTATTAACAAGGTTTCCAATTCTCTTGGTAGGCTATAATCATCTTATTACATGTGTCTACCCACTCACATGGTAGGAGTCACAAGCCTATGTTGAGAAAGACCATATAAATATTATTCATTGCCCTTCAGCATTCATAGTGTTAAAAGCAATGAAAATATTGGGAGACCCTAATATTGTAGCGCCCAGGTGTTTCTCATTCCCAAAATAGCCAAATCAAATTTCAGCAATTCATCAAGATTTCCATTTAAATATTCTCACCAATATTCCTGTCAGAAAAACTAGCAAATCGGTGTTGATGTAAGTATAGACAGAATGTTCATTAGAAGTGAGGTTTGTGAGATACTGTCTTGCTTATTTAGAATACATCAGCAGGGAAGACAATTTGCTAGAAAGGGACATCGTATTTGGAAAGTAGAAAGCTAATGAAAATGCAGGAAATCCTCAATGAGATGTATTAGCATAGTAGTTGCAACAATGGACTCAAAAATATCAGTAATTGTGAGGATGGTACAGGACGAGGCACTGCATAAGGTCACCATCAGTCAGAATTCAATTAATGACAACTCTGGTAGCGTAGTGGTTAAGAATCGGGCTGCAAACCTTAAGGTCAGCGGTTCGAAACTACCAGCTGCTCCGCAGGAGAAAGATGAGGGTTTCTACTCCCGTAAAGATTTACACCCTCGGGAACCCTGTACAGGGTCGCTATGGGTCGGAACAGACTCGACGGCACTTAACAACAACAACAACAATAAACAATATCACCAGTTTTTTTTGTTGTTGTTGTTGTTGTTTCAGCAACTTCTAATTCATGTATATACATCTCTACTGTGACTGTCTAGATTTACATGTATTTCTAGATTTCAGGGTGTTGATAATCATACCAATTATTGCATATGTAACTATAAGTTCCATCCTATCCATGACTCCAGAAATGTACTGGTCCTTCATATAACCAATTTTACCAAAGTTCCTAATAGATAACAACAGGATCACTGCTTTATTGTTCATTGGGGTCTGACTCAGACTCTCCTAATTAGCCTGTACATTGTTGAAATCTTTTGGTTCCTGTTATCTAAATGGCAAATTTAGAGCCCAATAATTGAATGTCTCAAAAGATATTTTATAAATATCACCGTTCATGATCTTCAGCAGTTTTATTCTTAGGGGTACACAGTTTACATTAATCAAACATATTCTAGAAAAGGCTCACTACTTTTTCTATAACCATGCCAAAAACCATACACACACAAAATGCAATCTTACTTCAATTCCTTCCCTTATGTTATGATAGCCTAGTAGAATCTTGGCTTGAAAGAGAAATAAAAATATTCAAGGAAATTAATCTGCCAACGTCTAAGTTGTCCGTCCCTTTCAATTTTATACCACTTGTCTGTCAGTTGTATTACTGTGGTAGTTTATGAGTTGCTGTGATTCTATGCCACAGGTATTATAAATACCAGTAGGGTCACCCATGCTGGACAGGTTTCAGATGAGTTTCCAGACGAAGACAGACTAGGAAGAAGGAGAGACAAACTACTTCCAAATAATTAGTCACTGAAAATCTTATGAATAGCAGAGAAACACTGTCAGATATAGTGCCAGAAAATGGGCCCCTCAGGTTGGAAGTCACTCAAAATACTACTGGGGAAAAGCTGCTTCCTCAAAGTACAGTTCACAGTGGTGATGTGAATGAAGCAAAACCCTCAGGACCTTCATTTGCTGATGGGGCACAACTCAAAATGAAGAGCAACAGCTGTAACATCAATTAATAATTAGAATATGGAATTATGAAGTATGAATCTAGGAAAATTAGAAATTGTCAAAAATGAAATGGAACACATAAGCTTGATACCATGGGTATTAGTGAGTTGAAATGAACTGGTATTGGCCATTTTGAATCTGACAACCACATAGTTTACTATGCCAGGAATGACAAATAGTAGAGGAAAGATGCTGCATTCATTGTTAAAAAAAAATTATCAAGATTTTTCATGAGGTACAATATTGTCTATGATAGGATAATATCCATGTGCCTACAGGAAAGACCAGTTAACACAACTATTATTCAAATTTACACACCAACCACTAAAACCAGTGAGGATGAAATAGAAGAATTCTACAAAATTCTTCAGTCTGAAACTGATAAAACATGCAATCCATCTATACTGACAATCACGGGCAATTGTAATACAAAGGTTGGAAACAAAGAGGAAGGATCAGTAGTTGGAAAATATGGCCTTGGTGATAGAAGTGATGCTGGAGATGACATGATAGAATTCTGCAAAATGATTTGTTAATTTCAAATACTTTTTTTAAACAACATAAGAGACAACTATACACATGTACCTCACCAGATGGAATAAACAGAAATCAAATTCACTACATCTGTGGAAAGAGAAGGTGGAAAAGCTGCATATCATCATCCAAAACAAGATCGAGGCAGATTGTGTAACAGACCATCAGTTTCTCATATGCAAATTCCGACTGAACTGAAGAAACTGAGAACAAGTCCACAAGAGCCAAA